ATTTCTGAAGTAACTGGAAACAATTGTCCTTTAATCGTTATAGACTAGTGATCGTTTAGGTTCAATTCCTTAAAGGTTTAACATTGAAGTCGCGTCCTGATCAAATTACACACTGTGCTGAACATATATGAGTGAGTTTATATACAATGAAAGGAGTACACCGGTTAAACTGCTTAAAAAGATTCAAACATCAGTTGACTTGTGATTTTCACAGAGTAATAACTTAGGAAACTTGAAACCTGAACACTTGATATCGACATTGTTGAATAATTTTGTAACTGAACAATTTAATTAATACGAGCTGCTTTGTACATTTATCGGCTTAGGGCTACATGGATCCAGAGTACTACACAACACAACAGTTGACTGAGAAGAGTGATGTATATAGCTTTGGAGTTCTGCTGCTGGAGCTTATAACAGCACGGAGTCCTATTGTGAGAGGAAAATACATTGTGAAGGAATTGAGGCAAGCAATAGACAAGTCTAAAGACATGTACAACATTGATGAGTTTGTTGATCCTGCTATCCCCTCAAACATGACACCTATAAGCTTCAGGAAGTTTGTTGATCTAGCTTTCATGTGCCTCGAAGATGCAGGAGCTAATAGGCCAACAATGGGTGAGGTAGTGAAAGAGATTGAGAATATCATGGAAATAGATGGATTGAACAGTTGCGCTGAATCTAGATCAACTTCTGTGAGCCACGAAGGAACCAGCGCAACCTTTGATCATCCTTACAGTGAGGAAAGCCTAAATCGTTACAATGGGGTCACCAATTCGCGATAAACATCAACTCTTCTCATGGAACCAGGTGCATTGTCATAGAAATGGAAAGTCATTCAAGCAACTGTTGTGCTTTTGTGTTAGCTGTGTACACTCTGTGCACCTCTGTCATATGTGTGCGGCGTAAATAGCCTTATACTAGAAATGATTCAAAAATCCATCTAAGGATCTTCATAAACAGCCTTGTATGTTTCAACTGTTTGCTTCTGATAATCCAGGAGCTAGACTCCGTGGATTCAAAATGAGTGATTTTATTGTATTTTGGACTTTTAGTCACTCATTATACATTTCTTTTTCATTTGAAAATTATAATTAGAATAGGTCAATACCAATTTAATTGGCTAGTTGACTTGCTAAAATAAAACAGGTAATTAACTGACCCCATCTCATAAAAACCTTAATTATGATACAGATTATGATGGGACATCTATCGGCTAAAACGTATCATTATTATAATAAGTCACTTCGACTTATTTTTTAAGTTCGTAACATATAAAATACTAGTCTCTGAGGACGTGCTTCGCACGTGTATTTCATGTGAATTTTATAGATATATTAGAATGACTATAATCTCATGGAAATATATATGTAAATTGTAATGAATAATAAAATATAACAATTACAAAATTCAAAGACTAACGGTAATAAAACATTCACAGAAAACTAAATTAAGAAGTCTAACAGAATGAAAGAAAGACAAAAAGAAACAAAATATTTAAGAAAAAATACAATATAGACATTATTCTTATAAGATTGATGTATATATGGATGAAAAAGTAAGTAAAAATTAGTACATAACTCTCTGAGTTTATATCGACTCCTTTCATATTCTATCAAAATTCAAGAATCTTCATCATCTGTTTTTACTATAGAATAAAAATAATAATTTAGGTAAAGATTTAAATTTTTTTTATAGTTATTATATACATATTGATTATAGATGATAAATATTAATAGATTAGATATTTCATGAGGAATTAATCTTAGGAAGTCTAGAAGTCATTAACTTTTAATTAAATTTATACAATCAAATATTTAAATATTTAATAACAATTAAATTTATAGAAAGGGTAAAACGGTAATTCAACTTTTAACTTTTTTGTTCATGCTTTTAGTAATACTAGTCTTCAGAACGTGCGTTGCACGTTTATTTTAAACTATTTAATATAAATTTTGTACTACGATCAATAATTTGTAAATGGTACATATATAGGGCCCGTTTGGCCATAAATTTTGCAAGTAAAACTTGGAAAAAAACTTGGCAAATTTTGTTTGTCCATACACTTTTTTATTATTTGGCAAATTTTCCAAATTTTCAAATACTAGAAAAAACTAGTATTTGGGCCAAAATTCATTATTTGGAAAGTTTTAGAAATTTAATTTTTACCCTTAACTTTTTATTTTACAAAAATAATATATTTATTGACACCAACCAATAATTTTTTACGTGAACACCAAAGTAGTGATGTAATATTCAATGAATATGAAAATGATGATATGGTTGTTGATGAAAGTGAACTATTGGCTTAGGGTAACAACATCGCTTCATCTTCTCGATCATCTGATTCGGAAATGCAAGCTCATCGAGAAGAGATTGTTTATAAAATGTGGGAATATTATATTAAAGAATAGGTTGAACTCTTTCAGATGAGAAAGCATAGGTTCTTCAGTGATTGCAATATTTATTTCCTTTTGTTTTCTTCTCTTTTTTTTCCTCGAATTTATATTAGTTGTATTTTCATTATCATGATTTGTACCAAGACCTTTTCACTATACGAATATTTACTTAATGATTTTTGTTGATTTGTTGCGGAAGTCATAAATCTTGTTACGTGAGATTTCTATTGTGCTATGTAATACAAATTTATGATTAGTTTGATAGTTTTAAAACTTATGGGTATAAATCATATTTCTTAAAAAAATGAAATATGTTTCTCAAATTCTATGGTCAAACACATGGTAAAATTTCACCCAAATTTTCATCCAAATAATATTTGCCAAAAATATTTGAATATCTATGGCCAAACGCTAGCATAGTATTGTACATGTTCTACACCAATAATTTTATAAAGTCCAAATAAGTAACATCTATTTAATCATTTAAACATAAACTTCTTTATATAAATAGAGAACATATTTAACTTAAAATGAACAAGAAGAGAAACATTATAAAAGAACATTTAAAACAGTTATGAAAATAACTTTCAAATGGCCATAGCTATAATCACTTTACATAAAATAGTACAAACATTCATTATTTGTTATAATTCATATAACGTGATAAAAAAGATATTATTTTCTTTTAAACATTCCTTACAATTAATCATAATGTCTTCGATCCGAATACAACAATAATGTTATTGCCTTTAACAATTCTATAAAGATTGATGACAACTTTTCTTCAGCAGTCTATAATTATGATCAGAAAGGAAATTAAAAAAGAAGAAAGAGATGATATACCAAAAATGAGAAAATGAATCTTAATTTATAAGAGAGAACATATTAACATACTTTAGTAAGAAGATCAGATGAGATTTATAAGTTAATTTTCATTTCTAGGTGACTTTAAATAGGAAAATTTTAGGTGAGGGGAGATGAAAGGAAAAAATAAAAGAGACCTATCAGTTTCCTAATTAATATTGTAACCTTTAGTCTTCACCTTTAATTCATTGAACAATATCATTAGAAGTCTTTTTGTCTTCTTGATAATTATTGTTTCTAACAATTTAATATTAATTAACCATCAACATAAATAAATTGTAACTGGAAGAATTTGATAAATTTGATATTGGTTAATATGTAATCCTCCCTTATAGTAATTAAAATTTAATATTTAATATTTAGTTAACAATTTATTAGACGATTAATATTTTTATATGATATAGGGACAAAATGTAATCTAATTTTTGCCTAATATTCCTTTCACGTTAATTATATTATTATTATTATTATTATTATATGATATGATGGAGATTACATTAAATATACATATAGATAATAAATGATAAATATTATTAAATTAGATATTTTAATTAGAAATTAATCAAAGGAAGTACAAAAGTTATTAATATTTTTATTATTAAAATGAGACAATTTAATATTTAAATTAACTAATTAAATGTTAAATAATTAATCAAATTTCAATTTAGTACAAGATCAAAATGGTAATTCAATTTTTCACTTTAGAGCTTAACTATTATATAAGTATAGATTATAGAAGATAAATATTAATAAATTAGATATTTAATTAGAAATTAATCTTAGGAAGTCTAAAAGTCATTAACATTTAATTAAATTTATACAATCAAATATTTAAATATTTTATAATAATTTAATTTAAAAAGGGATAAAATCGTAATTCAACTTTCAACTTTTTTGTTCATGCTTTTAGTAATATATGATTATAGGATATGTTATGGCTTTTCAAAGTTCAAATTGATGAAAAAAATACATTATTAAATATTGATCAAAATTACATTATTAATTTTCGAAAAGACAGAAACTTATTTACTATGCAAAATACAGTACACATGAACCCATGATGTTTTCCAAAAAAAATGTCAATTCTCATTTAATAATGTTAGTTGGAAACTAGAACTTTATAATCATAGCAACCACTTATGAAATTAATTAATAAGTGGATCCATATTATAAAAATGCTCCTGTTATCATATTGTCTCTCCAACTTTTTAAAAATATTGGAAATTCCAATTCATGCTATATAGCTATCGACGATTATTTACTTAAGGTAATAATTCAAATTTTCAAAACTTTTCTTATACTAAAAAATATGCCATGGTCCTCCCCTCCCATTTGATTCAAAATGTTAATAATTTCCTTTTCCTTTTCCTTTTTCTTTTTATTTTTTGGTAGATAACGAAGAATCACTACTAGAAATAAAGTTTTTTTATTGCGGAGTTAGTGGAAAATTTTTCATCTTATTCCTTCTAACCAGTTCATTATGAAAACGCATGGTGAGAAATAATTTTTTATCGAAATATTGAGAATAGTGATTTGAACATTTTTTTCTTTTCTCACTAATTTAATTAGATCATCTACAAGAATAGCCACTGAATATTTTTCAGCGAAGAATTTCAAATTAGGAAATAATAATTTTTAGTAGTGAATTTCACTTATGATCAAAGAAGTTCATATTTTTGTATATTCAAAAACTATATAATATAAAAATTACTCACTTCTCTTCTCATTTTTCTGCTTTTTTTTTTTTGTACAAAAGTAGTAATTAAATCAAGTACTATCATCACTATTGGTAGGGCTAGAAAGCACTTGCTTTTTAAGGTTATCAATGATCATAACCAACTTTGTGTTCAACCGATTCACGAAGCATTTTGGTAACCATCCTGCTGGATCCAACTGCAAATTTTCATCCCAAAAAAGATAATTTAATTTCCATTTTTATTTAATAAAATTACAAAATATATGAATAAACGCGTAAACTATAGTCAATTAAGTCAATGAAAACTATAATTCACGTTTCAAGGACAAAAAAGAAAGAAAAATACTCCATCAGATAATTAATTTCTCTTTATCTATCCAAATTTTGGTGGACAGAGTCACACTGTGCATATTTTTTCTTTTTTAAGAAGTAATATATAATATTCAAAATTTGAAATAATCGAGATACATGTGAATAACATTACCTGGACAACGTAAGTGACCATGCAAGAATCATGATCAATTTTCTCAACAACCCATCCAGATTGCAACAATAAACCTCTTATTGCATTGTTTTGCTTTGGGTGCAAACCTGCTGCTATCTCTTTTGGAAGTGAAGCTACTGCTACTACCTATAACATTAATGAACATTTTTTTAAAAAAAAAATCAAATGTGCGTTTATTATCAACTTGCAATTTTAAAATAATACGTACCAGTGTTCCATCATCCATAGTTTCACGACGTTCATAGACAATGAATTCTCTGTTTCTGAATAAAGGCTTCGAATTTTCCCCAAATCTAAGACGTATAATACTCAAATTATCTTCCAAATCCTTTATGTATCTTGCTTCTACTAAGTCCCCGTCCCATTGCTGTCATTTTAATTTCATCAATTCACCTCTATATCATTATTTTAGAAATAATTTAAATTCAAACTTACCCTTGCAGCATCAATGGCGTTAGCTACAGTGATGAATTGTTGAGGAGAAACAGATTTGAGTAACCAACGGCTACGGAAAGTGTGAAGGGAACCTGAACGGCGTTTAGCTATCTCAACGCCGTTATCTACGCCGAGTATTTTCCAGCCATCGTTACAGCTTTTTGAATCTGAAGCTGATAACAACTCCTGGATGCAATTTTCACTTGCATAGAACACATATCTTCTCAATGAGTCCTCACTAATTGACCTGTAATTAACGAGTCTGATATGACAATCTGAAAAATAGAATGAACGATATAAATAAATAAAAAAAGTATAGTAGTATAATTTACCATGATCTACTACAAGGTGCAGGACTAGAAGTAAGATTACTCATCTTGAGCCACCAAAAAAAAGGATATGTGAGAGCTTTTATTTTAGTTTTGTTCCTCAAAATGAGGGAAAATATAGATGAATATATATGGTTGAGAAGGGGGTGGGGGTTGTTAGATCAAAGTACAATGTTAGATTGTTTTGAAAGAAAATAATGGGAATTGGTTTAATATTTTATGTGTAAGTAACGTTTAAATAATAAGTGGGAAGAGTTGATTGTTGCACATGGAATGCCAGAGAAAACTCCATGATTAAAATTGCTAGTCATTATCTCCACTCTTCTTTCAATTTTTCTCCTCTAATATTAAAAAAGTTTACTAGTTTCTAATTTTTTTCTTTTATTAGTTATTATGTTTGCCGTTACTTTCTTTTATATATATATATTTGAAATTGTTATGCTTGAAATTGAAGGTTTTTTGAAAATAGTCTTTCTATCTTTACGATATAATTAATAATGATAAGGTCTGAGTATACTAAAATCTAGATATGTTATTGTTATGATGTTTGTAATATAAAAGAGGCTATCAAACATGCCATGTGCATCGTCTTCCCCACTCTCTTAGCCCTTTGTACCTTTTTTTTTCGAATAAAAATTAAAGAATCTTTTTTTTTTGTTTAAAAGTATAGAAAAGAAAAGAAATGAAATGAAGAAAAGGACTAACAACTAAAGCCAGACTAATATTGTTGAGAATTCATTTATTTTTCTACCAAAACTTGCTTTGGCTATGGGTGACAACAACATACCCCAAAGGTTCCATATTTTAACTTTGGTCCCCTCAATCACGTGCCACTTAGCTAACTCACAAAAAAATGTAAAACAAACAAACAAAAAAAAGAAATAACCTAAGACAAAACTTAAATTACTTTTTTTTTCTACTAGTGTTGGAATTTGTTATTATAAATTTGAATCCATTCAAAGTAGTAGAATAATTTAGCAGTATCACAGCCAAATCAGTTCTCTGTACTTATTTAGTAAGACAATTTTACTTATTACTTTTATGCTATTTTTATAACTTATCTTTCGGTGATCGAAAAAAAAATAATCAGTTTTGGAACTATTCTTCTGAATTCTGATTCTCACACATTGACAGAGCATGGAGTGGGAAGGAATTCAAGAAAGCATCAACAATCAATCTTTTTGAAAGAAATAATATGCACCATTTTAGATTTGATCGATAACAACATATTCGATATAATCCCACGAGTTAGATCCGAAAGAATATCATGTACGTAGTCTTTTCGTTATCTATGTAAAGATAAATAAGTTGTTTCTGACTAATCCTCGAGTATTGTAACATAGGAGACTAATAAGAACGATTGATTGATGAAAAAAAATTTAACAATGATTCATAATATGTGAAGTCTTTATAATAAAGTTGAATATCTCATAGTAATAATCAGCTCTGGATCCCTAATAAATAGATAGATTTTAATAATCATATTTTTTTTAAATAAGTGTCCGTTAACAAGGGTAATCTATTGTTTTAATCATTAGTGTGAATTTAAAAACAAAAAAGGGTCATGATCCATTTAATCTCATTGGAAATGTAAAGCAGGTATAATAATTATCATCACAGGGTTTCTAATAAATGAATTAAATTACCCAAAAAGACAGGTATTAATAATTCATTTCATTTAATGGTGTTATTATGAATCCATCTATAAGCAAAAAAAGAAAAAAAAGAGAAATCACGCGAATTTTCAAAAAGCAAGTGGGATCAAGATAATTAATTGAGTAAGCCTTTGGCTTTAAGGCTATTCACTGTATCCTTAACTGCATCTTCAACTGGGGTGAAAATTAGTCCCAAATCAATCAACTTTTTAGCAGCATCTTTGCAAGCCACCAAGCCTGGCTGGGTCTCCCCTGTGAACCTGTATTCAATTTTATCCACTATTATTGGAGACAAGACTAGACCAATCATGCAAGAAAAAAAAACCTTTTTTTTCTTTACAAAGTTGTATATTATCAAAGGGGCAATTATTAAACTTATCAAACATATCCAATGTAATCTCACAAGTGGAGTCTGGAGAGGTCTTGTGTACGTAGACTTTCCTACCTTGAGAGGTTGAGAGGTTTTCTCTGATAGGACAAGTTTATCAAAGCAATTACAGAAGTGAGGAACTTTCAAATTGATTAAAGCACATTGAATGCTAAAAAAATGAAGCCTAGAGTCAACCTGGTTATAAGTCATAGCTAAATAAATGCACTGAGGAAACATTTCAATAGAGGCACATGGTAGTTAGGAGAAATGGAAGGTTTGATAACTCCACACAACCAGACAAAGTGGATTGTACTGAAATAAAATTTGAATTGTACCAACTTCAGTATACATTTGAAAATCAGTTATCAAATAAAGTTAAGCTGATTATGCAGAGACATTGCTGCAAATTATGAAACGTCGGCCATGAATTACAAATTACTTATAACAACATATTAACGAGATTTACATGACTAAATGAAGCTGAGGCTGAGGCCGAACTTCAGCAATAAGTCTCAGTCGTAAAACTATTCAGGATAACGAGAATAGAATCACTAAAAGAAAGGATAAGCTGAATAGGTAACATGGAAGGTGACCAGTGGGACTTGGAATGCTATAGATGTAGCTAGCACTTCATAGTGGGGTTTCTTTTGGGTAGCCTTACAGTTTTAAAGTGGGGTTGTAAAAGGCCTGGATAACATAAAGGTGATCTTGATAGTTGTGACTTCTGAATGTGTTGTGCAATTAAGATTCCTTTGAAGCTAATACTTGAGGTGGGGTCAGGTAAGAGCAATTTGTATCTATACTCCTGCAAGTTAGGTATCTACTGTACATGTTAGTTTTCATACCGAAGAAGTGGAAGGCTGTCTACATCACACCCCTTGGGATCCGGCCCTTAACCTGGCCCCTCCAAACGTGGGATGCTTTGTGCACCACGCGGCCCTTCATACCTTAGTATAGAGTGGAAGCTCCTGCTACCCCACTAATATAGAACATGTACTAGTTGATTTTACATCAAATGAAATACTATTGCCAGTATTTAGTAATCACTTCATTCTGCACAAGATTTTTCTATGGAGTATAGTATTTTTATTGACCTACTTCCGGTGTACCCAAACAATTTATGTGTGAATATAAACTAATACTTCTTTTAAGCTATTCAAGTTAAACGTCATATATTCACGATTCAGCTTAATGCTCTAAGCAATTTTAACCATATTCAGTATTAAAATCCCAATCAAAACAGTTGAAAAGCTGATTGAGGGGATGTTGGAGGTAGCTTTGAAGGACAAAAAAGGGAGTAATTAGTTGAAAAGCTGTTTCACTTTTTTAAATAACATAAACTAATTTTTCAGTTGAGGAGTTGGTGTGCAGAAAAAGGTAGTTCACATTTATTTGGGGAAGGCCAAACAAAATTAAGAGTTCTCCAACAAGACGGGAGGAGTATTCAACTAATAAGGTTGTAATAGAAGTGACGAGAGGGAGTTGCTCGGATAGTAAGCACCCCTCACTTCCAACTCAAAGGTTGCGAGGTGCAAAAGGGGTGGGAGCTCCTAGAGGAGGGTAAAAGAAAATAAAAAAGAAAAAAAGAAAAAGAAGTGACTGTCTATATGTTTATGCCTGAAGAAAATCTAGTTAACAAAACTTCGTTCCCAAGTTCTTCACGTGGAGATCAGTTCTTAATGACTCGACCTGCTCATTTCTTATTGTTGAATCGTAAAACAACGTCGAAATTTAAGTTTATCATCATTCAGTTAAAGAAAGCATAGCTGAATTCTACGACTTTGAGTAACAGAGGAGAAAAAATAATTAGTCGGCTATGTCAAATCCATTGTTGATAAAGATTAAATGCAATTCGCTGAGACGAAGACAGGACTGGTTTAACATATGTAAAAACATCCCTTTTCAATGTATTTCCTATTTTTGCATATAACAGAAGATTAAACTTGAGGATAGTTACAATAAAGAGAGAAGCAAACCTGTGGACAGAGAATTCGGGGGAAAGTTTTGAGACTCTGTCAGCAAAATCACCAAACTGGTAAATGCCATTGGTACATAAGTATCTTCCAGAAGCACGGGGGCTCTCAAATAACAAAATCTGTGCCGCTGCCACATCTTTGACGTGCACAGCCCCTAACCAATGATACTCTTGGGTATCTGTTGATCCCTGAAGCAGTTGTTGCAAAACAGCGCAGCTTGCATTCAGTCCAGGTTGCAGAAGTTCACCAAGACATGTAGCTGGATTAATTGCTACCACATCCAATCCATTCTTCTCCGCAAATTCCCATGCAGCCTTCTCAGCAAGTGTCTTTGAGACTGGGTACCATTTCTGTCATTGAACTCAATTATGATTTATAATGTTTAAGAGCTCTTTGTCATACATGGAGAGGTAATTATATCATACTATATGTCAATGGGGGAATCAGCAACGGTAAGTTTTGAATCCTTGCAACTTTGTTTAAAATAAAAGTAAATTTAGAAGTCAAGGAAATCAAATAGAAAGTGTCCATATATTTAGACAAGGTAAATAATTAAGTAGATCACTCAACAATATTGGATTATACAACATTATTAGAGTAGTGGGATTATACAAGCAGTAATCTCAATATAAGCCTAAAGCTATGAAATAAGAAGTTTTAACATGTTGATTCTCACTTACCCAAAATAGTTCAATTGGTACACGCACGATATAGGCTAATTAAAAAGCCTTTTGTTCAATCTCTCGTGGAGTCGAATTCTCATTGTACGAGTCAAATGAGTACTAATCCCCTAAAGCTAAGGTAGTGTTCTTTTAATTATTATAATTAATCCCTCATCTTCAGCTGGAACTTTAATTCCCTACTACGTGTGGCATATTTGGTTAACAAGGAACGATAATCTCTTTAATAATAAAAAACTTTCTATTTCATGTACACGGGCTACTCAACAAGCCACATAATATCATTTTTTGGCTGGGGGATCCACTGGAAAGGTGCCTAGAACCCAATTACAACTCAAGCAGATACCCCCGAAACCAAATTATTATAAACTCAATACTGATGGGGCCTTTACAAATATGTTGGATAGGGGAGGCATAGGAGGAGTTTTATAGGACCACAGATGGTCATTGGATACTAGGCTACTGTATGCATATTCCATATACTACTATCACTGAAGCTGAACT